AAAGCCCAGCCCCGGGTCCGGTGGAAAAGCGCCCCGCTGCTCGTCAAACTGCAACACAGCCAGGCAGGGCCGTAGCGCCAAAGGTGGGGGCTGGGCTGGGCCCCAGGCCACCTCCCCCCGCACCCCCCGGCAGCCCATGGGGGCCTGGCAATGCCCCGGCCCTCCGCCCGGGGCCCTTCCTGCAAGCAGCACAGGCCCCTGGCCTTCAAAAAAGCAGATGGCGACGCTTCGGGGGGCACCCCGGGAGCGACTGAGGGGGCAGGAGGCCAGGAGAGCTGGCCGGGTTTTAGAGATGCCTTGTTGAGGGCAGACACAAGCCGTCACAACATACAGAAAGAGTCACACACACGGGGGAGGGAGCGTTTGAGCATTGGCCTGCTAAACCCAGGGGTGTGAGTTCAATCTTTCAGGGGCCCATTGGGGGCAAATCTGTCAGGATGGTGCTTGATGCTGCTGTGAGGGCGGGGGCCTGGACTCCATGATCGCGCAAGGTCCCTTCCAGCGCTAGGAGAGAGGGATGGCAGCACCTGGCTTGGCTTACGTGAGGTGTCACCAGGGAGCCGCAGCCTGACAAGGAAGCTTAAAGGGATGGGACTGTGGCCAGCTGCCGTGGGCAGCGAGAAAAACTGTGGCTGGAGCACACAGGGTGCCAGCAGGAAAGCCAAAGCACAACCGGAGCTGCTGGGTTGACAGATAGTTGCAGGGGGGGGGAAAGGAGCTGAGAGTTGTAAACAAAGCAGTGTAGCCTGGTTAAAAACCTGGGGTGAGGCTTTCTGGCCTCCCTGCACGGGGCTGGACCCGGTAAGCACTGGGGTTGCCCGGCTGCCTCCGTATTGAGCCGGACAGCCTGGGGTTTTCCCCTCCTGGCTGGGAAAAAAGTACAGGACATTTTAGGTGTCTGGCATTTTCTGAGTTTTTGACCAGACAGGAGGTGAAAATCCCAAACTGACTGGTTCAATACCAGCCACCTGGCAACCCCAGCTGCGAGGGTAATTGCCACCAGCAGTCTAGCAAAGGCACCAGTACGGCGTGAGCAATGCAACCAGCTGGGCCCTGGTTTAGGCTGCAGAGCTCCCTCGCTCTTCTCTCTCACTGCCGGTGGGCTAAGGGTGACCGCGTGGGACCGTGATCCACACCCACAAGGGGCTCTGCAAGGCTGTTGGCGACAAGAAGCTGGTCAGGGACAGTGGGGAAGGCAGCCTAGTGCCCGGTGCTATGGAAAAAGCTGACGTACTCGGTGCTTTCTGCCACGGGCTTCACAGCCATGGTCTGCTCCCAGACAGCCGCCCTGGGCAGCACACAATGGGGCGGTGGGCAGCCCTCCGTGCGGCAAGAACAGGTTAAGGCCTCTAACAAAGCTGGACAGGCGCAAGGCTGAGGGTGCTGAGGGAGCTGGCTGATGTGACTGCAGCCCCATTGGCCATTAGCTTTGAAACCCCCCTGGTGATCGGGGGGCTGGCTGGAGCACCAAGGGCTTGGCGGAGCGCGGTTGATTGGAGACAGGCAAGTGTCGTGCCCATCTTTAAAAAAGAGAAGGCGCATCCGGGGAACTACACCAGTCAGCCTCCCCGTCCCTGGAAAAAGCACGGGGCAGAGCCTCCAGGAATCCATTTGGAAACACTTGCAGGAGAGGATGGTGATCAGGAACAGTCACCATGGATTCACCCAGGACAAGTAGCAGGTTTTTACTAGGCAGCAGGTTTAAAGGAACAAATCAAAGGAAGTTTTGCTTCACTCAGCGCACAGTCGACCTGTGGAACTCCTTGCCAGAGGATGTGGTGAAGGCCAGGACTTGAACAGGGTTCAGAAAAGAGCTAGCTAGATTCATGGAGGTTAGGTCCATCAATGGCTGTTAGCTGGGTAGGAATGGTGTCCCTGGCCTCTGTCTGGAAATGGATGACAGGGAAGGGATCATGGGAGGATTCCCTGGTGTGAGCCCTCCCTCTGGGGCATCTGGCATTGGCCCCCGGAGCCCTTTAACTCACCCCCAGTGCTGGCGGCACACTCCTGGCAGCACTGAGGGCTGGCGGGGAGGCACACCATGGTCCCCCGCCCTGCCCCTCCTGTCTGAGGGCCTGTCCCCTTCAGGGAGCACAAAGCTGCTCCCCCCACCCCCAACCTTGCCCAGGGGCCTGGTGAAACTGCCAGCATCCCTGAATGGCCTACAAGCTGCCTAGCTAATCAGGCGCAACGGGCAGTGCGCAGCAACTCGCTGGCTCAGGGGCAGCTGGTATGACGTGAAGTACCCCCGGGGTCAGTCCTGGGGCCAGGTTTGCTCAACAGCTCCATGAATGACCCGGGGGCGGGGCTGGCTCGCCCCCTCAGCCAGTTCACGGATGACACTAAGCTGGGGGGCAGGGATAGGGCCCGGCGTGACCGTGGCAGATCGGGCCAAAAGAAATCTGAGGAGGTTCAACAAGGACAAGTGCAGCGTCCGGCACCTGGGATGGACAACTCAAGCATTGTTACTGGGGACCGAGTGGCTAAGCAGCAGGTCTGCAGAAAAGGCCCTGGGGATGACGGGATGGGAAGCTGGATATGAGTCAACAGGGCGTCCTTGTAGCCGAGACGGCTAATGGCATAGTAGGGCGCATTAGGAGGAGCATTGCCAGCTCCAGAGAAAAGTTTTCTGTTAAAGGCATTTTTGGAAAAGCGCGTCTAGATTGGCAGGATGCTATTCCACAAAAGCACTTTTGGCGGAAAAGCGTCCGTGCCAATCTAGACTCACTTTTCTGCAAAAAAGCCCCGATCGTCATTTTCGCGATCACGGCTTTTTTGCGGAAAACAAATCTGAGCTGTCTACACTGGCCCTTTCGCGCAAAAGGCTTTCAGAAAAAGACTTTTGCCCGAACGGGAGTAGCATAGTATTTCCGCAAAAAGCACTGACAATCTTACATGAGATCATCAGTGCTTTTGCGGAAATTCAAGCGGCCAGTGTAGACAGCTGGCAAGTTTTTCCGGAAAAGCGGCTGATTTTCCAGAACAATTTGCCAGTCTAGACACAGCCCTGGAGTATTGTGTCCAGTTCTGGGCCCCACACT